TACTCTGCCTTGCAAGGGCAAGGACCTGAGTTCGATCCCTGGTACCCCTCCAAAAAAGCAATACTTATTGTTTTATAAAATGGAGTATTACTCAGCTGAAAAAAAAAAAGAATGAGAAACTAGAGACATTTATAGTTAAGTGAAATTAATAGGGCACACACATATAAATACTGTATAGTTTCTCCGGTGTGATAAACTAAAAGTGTAAATAAGGGTCAAAATGTATAATTAGTATTTTTGTAATAGCAAGTAAAGGTCTAAAGGTATTGGGCAAATGGGAGGGGTAGGGGAAGGTAAAAAGGGAAGAGAAAAGGAAAAAAATGGAAACAAAGTTTTTGTAAATAGGGAAAGGTGGCTAGGGGAATGGGGAAAAAAAATAAGAACCAAGATATATCATGTAAAGGTACAAGATCCCAATGATGAATGTAACTGTATTATATATTTAAGATGTACCAATAAAAAATATTTTAGGACTGGGGATTTAGCTTAGTGGTTCTGCCACCTGCCTTGCAAGCCCAAGGAGCCAAGTTTGAGCCCCGGTGAGAAGAGAAGAGGAAGAGGAAGAGGAAGAGAAGGCAAAAGGAAAGGGAAAAAGAAAAAGAAAAGATGAAAAAAATTTTTCTGGTATTGAGGACTGAACTCAGGACCTTGTGTTTATGAGGTAGGTGTGGTGCCACTGAGCTAAATCCCCAGCCCTAGAATGAAAAAGTTTTAACATCAGCATAAAAATGCTTGAGGGAGTTCATGGCTTCTCAAAATTATTTTCCATGGTATGTAAGAAAAAAAAGAAAATAACCAGTGTGAAATCTTTGGCCCCTGCTGATGCGTCAACATGTGACTACAGAAGCCCTCCCTACCAAGACCTGGGCACAATGCAGAAGACAGGCCCAGGGGCTGGACAGGAGCTTTCTAGAATCCAGTGCCCTTGAAAGCAGGGGATAGGAGGGCAGGAGAGGATCGTCACAGGAAGCACTGCAGGAAGAGATCCCTCCAGGACCTGGGGCAGCTACTCCTAGATACCAGATAAAAGCAGGACAGAAAGGCTGGTCCTCTCACCATGCAAAACTTCACCACTGCTCAGGAGCAAAAATATGACCCCACACAGAGGATGGCCACAAAAGTTTCAATTTTAAGAGTTCTGAAAGGATATGAAAAAAGACCCATAGTGCACTGTTTTATTTTAAATTTTATACTTCCACTTTTGCTTCACACCACTCAAAGAATAATCCTTAATGATTTCAAGGGACTCTTGTGAATCACAGACAAACCCCATCCCAAATACATACGCACAGAAAGTTTTAGTTGTGTTCAAAATATTTTTTAAAGCAAAGAACTTCTAATCCATATAATTAATACTAATACGAAATAGTAAGCTCTCCTAACTTTGAAAACAATGAGTTAAAATGGGTAAAGAAGGAACAGACACAATGAATGCAGTTCTTCCCTATAAGCAAAACCAACTGCAACACAAAGACAGACCAAGCGGACTACTTTCTCTCTCACCTAGCAATTTCCCCCATCCCATGAGGAACCTTTGGTCCTTTCTTTGTTGAATGGCTCTTTTACAAAGGAATCTGCAACGACATATCACTTGTGAAAAGAAATGACAGGTAACAGTCATGCTGGATTTGAATTAAAACACTCAACTTCCGTCAGCTGGAGAGGTCTATTACCATTCAGTTTTGTTGAAGTTTCCAGTCTCCTCTTGAACAAGGACAAAAAGGTCCAAGTCAGACCTAAAGCTCTTTAAAATCGAGAGGGAAAGGAATTTAACAAGCAAGAAAACTAATGACAGGGTAGGGACCCTCACAGAGCCTGTTAGGCAAGGAGGGAGGGGTAGAAAAAGGCCAGGGCTGTAAGGAGAGCAAGCCACAAACACCAGAGAGCTGCAAGACTTTGGTCCAGCGTAGCTGCCCTAGTACACTAACAGCAATGGCTTCCTATCCCAACACCTGAGGTTAGCCACAGAAGGAGCCCATCAACCTGAAAGAGAAATCACCACATTCAAAAGAAAGGAAATTAACAGGTGCTGTGGACGTTACTGTCTCAGATTACAAAGCTTTTTCCAATTAATAAATCGAGTGAATGAAAAATAGAATTGTGACTGGCTCTTGTGCTCTCAGCAGTGTGGGGGTCATACAATAGAAAGTAAGCTTATTCAAGAGAATAATAATCAAGAATGTTTCCTGGCTGTCATTTTCTTTCTTTCAACCAATTGGGTTGTACATCCATGAGGCACTCAAAGAAGTGCAGAGTGCTGAGATCCATGATCAACCTGTTCTTTTCTCTTAGGAGATAGTGGGCAGCACAAAGAGCACTGACACTGAACACCATACAGTTCAGACTCTGAAGAAGCATTCACAGGCTAGGATGAAGTTCACCAAGGCCCACTTAACCCAGCCCGAGAGCTGAAAATCTTCATTGAAGAAGAGATGGAGGAAGAAATCTGAAGACAAAAAGGAACTGTATAAGAGGCAGAAGGGGAAATTCAGGCAAATGGAAAGAGCACAAAGAAAGTACAGAAAATATGAGAAACTGTCAGCACTTCAGCATGGCTGAAGCAAGTGGCATAATCAGATTTATAGAGCCTCTCTTCACCTAGTAGCAACAAGGACACAGGTCTAGGGAAGGATAAGCTCAAAGGCAGAGAGCCTCATCCAAGGACTGCTACAGTAAGCCAAGAGAGAAACTGTGTCCAAACCAAGGTAGCGGACAATAGGATGGAAAAAAAGTTTCAGGGGCCACAGAAAAGTAAAGCCCAAGACCCTCTGAATTGCTTAAATATAATGGTGTGCTAGTAAATGTTTAATCATTCCTTTAAAAAAGAAAAAGAATGCTCCGATCTGTAGTCTTCACCAATTTCTATGGTGTAGGCGCTCCCACAGGCTATCTCAACATGGAGCAAACAGGCTCCAACACCAGCACCAGTAACTGAGGACTAAGAACAGAGAACTAGGAAAAGTCAACTCCTTCTATCTTAAGGACCCAAACAGGATAGGGAATATAGTTCACTTGTTCAGTCTGGGATACACTGAGTCTGAGGAACCTACAGTCTTCAGTGTGAAGATGTCCAGCAGGCAGACAGGTACATGGGTGTTCAACTCTGCAGAGAAAAATTCGGTTAGACATTACAGATGACGCCTATGGCATGAGGCACATCAGGAAGATGTGTGAGTGACAGAATCCTGGGAAATGCTAAAATTAAGAGTGCGCAAAGAAGAAGTTTATGAAGATATTTGAGAAGTAGCTTAAAGGAAGGATCCCTCAGGACCAATTTGCCAAATAGCCAATTCTCTGACAATCATTTGAGCAAAAAGTAATTCATTAAAGTTGCCAAAGTCACCTATTTTTAAAACCTGTTTCTTTTAATTACAGGCAAAGTAATTATTCATTAAATGGACCTGTTTTCAGCAAACTGGTCTGGTTTGAAGACAGGAAGTCGAAAGTGGGAGTTTTAAGAAGCTTGAACAAGTTGTAACAGCACAGGAGTGGTCAACAGTTGTACAAGGGAAAACATCCTGGGGTAACCTCGCTCTCCACACCCTGTGGAAGGGTCCAGAAGGGTCCTGTGGAGGGGGCAGTAGGTGGGAGCTGTCACTGAACAATCAACCCAGGAAGACTAGGAGAAGAGGGTATTGGTTGGTTGGTTGGTTGGTTATTTATTTATTTATTTTTGGCTGCAAACTGTGAGACTTAACTATGTTTACATGTTAAGCCAGACGATCTAGCATTTTCAGACTGAAGCAATAAACAAACTTCAGTGTGATTAAAGCCCTAATATCCCAGTCAAGGAAGGGAAATGTGATATACAGGAAACAGGAGGGGGAGGGTATATGTGCCTGAGTTATTTCTGGAGCAATTCTTCTGTTAGGTCATTTCCTTTCACCAGGACAATCAAAATATGTGTCACCCACCTAGGGGCTCTGAAATGATTTCAGGACAATACTGGAAGAACATTACATTTTCTGAATGGTGTTGGTCTGTCCCTGAGTTCACAGCCAGTGAGAACCAACAGCTTGTTTTCACAGCTCCAGGATCTTTACATGTTTAACAAAATTCTGACATGTTTCTGACCCTCACTTTTCATTGTCCCAAGCCTGCACCTCACTGTCACTTTCCTTCCCTGGTGATAACCTACCCTTCCCAATGGCTTCCCATTTCTGGGGGAAAACGATATGGGAGTTTTTGAGGGGAGAGGGCAAAGGACTTAAATTCAGAATGTACTTTGTAAGTATGTGATACCTGCTTGATTTATTCTTTATCTTGGAAATATTTTCAAGAATATATTTGGAAATCAAGTTAGTGGCCTGCTTAATTAAAGATCACCAATATTATAGCTATATTGTACCTTTCTAAAACTGTTACCTAACCATTACTGAACAGTAACTAATTCTTATATAGAAACTCACTGTCTTAAACATGTTTGGTTATCTTCCCGAGAAGTTCACACTCTAGGATCTTCATTAGAGCTTAGTAATTTGCTAAGTCAAGAACAGAAGACTATAGGACTCTCATGTTACAAAATAATGTCCTGGTCACTGTGTATACATCATATATGCTGTACTTTTCAAAAGGTATCCTACTAAGAAGATTTCTGATAAATGTTTTATTTTATTTCTCTTTGTAACAAAGGGCCCTCAATTCAGCTCACAAGGATACAACAGAGATTGTTAACGATGCTTTTACATAAGGTTTTTTTTCCTTCTTTTCTTTATAAGCCAACAAACAACATCTTATGAACATTTATCCAACTATCAATTCGTAAGGGAAATTTTGGACTTTCAAACAGAACTCTTGCTATGAAATAAAAATGTTGCTTCAATGTGAAATTCTAAAATTTCAACTATAACAAACCAAAGAGACCCTCTGAGAAACAATATATTTAGGGTCATTAAGGACATACTGTTCTACACTGAAAATCAAATCCAGTAGAAAAATCAAGACTTATACTATCAACATGAACTTCTTTTGTTAAGAGATACAATAAATACGTAACCTACCGTCCGTCTGAGATTTACTGAGGAATATTGTGCTGGCCCGAGGATGATCTGAAGGATTGAATTCCATGTTCAAATCTTTTAAAGAAAGAAAAAGAAAGTATACAAATTACCATCTGATAATGAGAGACCAAGATTTTCAATTTTTTCAACCTCAAGTTGCTAATGCATTCTAAGATTCTGGAGACCTACAGTTATTGTATTAATAGATTCTTTTCATTCAATTGAGAACACTGCTATTTAGAAATCTGAAAAAGACACATAAAAATTAGAGGCTTGATTAGAGCACTGTTAGCCTAAAACTCTCATTTTCTTTTGAAGTATTCTTCATACCCCAGAGACCAGAAAATAACAGGACAAAGTTATCAGGAGCTGAACTGAACAGTTATGTAAATGGTAGTTCCTAGTCTAAGATGATTAAAATAGTATCTCAACTGGTTAGGCTGAATTAGTACCCACACACTCCATGTAGTGAAGATGACTTTGAAAGGCAAAATTTATACTTGAGCTTAGAACAAACACTGTATATATGCCATCTGTAGTCCTAATCTGGGCCACATATGTCTTCTGTTAGACTTAAACTTTAGGCAGGGAGGGCATAAAAATCAAGAATTTTCAAACATACACCACAAAGAAAAGAATACCTATTTCTAACTTCTCAAGTAAAATCAGTTTATTTGGCAGCACCAGGTCCCTGTGGATGAGACCCCACTCCCTGGGCACCAAGTTCTCGTTCTTCTGCCATCCAGGCACTTGGTTCTGAACACTTTCCCTCCAAGCATTAGGAGCTGGTCCACACATACAAACAGTCCGGAATCCCGACACAGAAGAGCTTTTTCAGTTTCTTAAAAACAAAAGCCCAAACCAATTCCACAGAAAACAAATGGGTGAAGCAAACCAAGAAAACCTGGGTAGGGGCAGAAAGAGAGAAGATAAAAATTACTGAGCTCAGAATGATCTTCCAATATACTTATGGTATTAAAATGGAAACTATGAGATAAATTATTTTAACAAATTTACAAGAAATTGATCAACACCAATAAAAAGATGGCACCCATCCTATCTCTAACAGCTAATCAAATTGGAATGTCATCACTGGAGGACACTGAGTAGCTTATCCACAGACTCATCCTCCACAAACTCCTGACAGGAAGCTGTTTTCCCACATCCTTTGATCACTTATTGTACCAGTTTCTAATTTCTGAAGGGGAACTTGATGAAAGAAATACCTTCTACAGCTTAAACATAAGCTACAGCAAGTATCTGGTCCTTTAGGTATTAAATATGCCTAAATATTAAGTCATAATGAATTCCACAATAAAACAAGGAGTGTGATGAAAGCAAAAGAGAGAAAGCGAATTTTTAAATTTTCTTCAATTTGAATTAAAGTTGGATAAAAAATTTCCTGGTGAAAAGGACTCTTAGTGAGGTTTCCTGCTCAACTATGATCTTGTTATTAAAGAAGGAAGAAAAGAGGAAGAAGGAAGGAAATAAGGGAGAGAAGGAGAGGGACAAGGAGAAGAAAGCTGGGTATGGTAGTGCAAGCCTGAAGATCTACTACTCTGAGAGCCTGAGGCAGGAGGATGACAAATTCTGGCCCAGCCTAAGCAATTTTGTGACTTTGTGAGATCCCTGCCTCAAGATAAAAAGGTGAAAGGGCTGCATATGCAGCTCTGTGGTAAGGCCCCGGGTTCAATCCTCTGTAGTAGGAGGAGGAATAGGAAGAGAAAGGTAAGTAACAAATGTTCTACTCAATTTTTTGAGGAAAGATACATAGTGATAGAGGGTGACAGGCAGAGATAGAGGGTCAATATGTAGCGCTAAGCAGGATGGATGCCGCTACCTTCCAGAGCCTTATAACCACTCACCCCTCAACAGGAAAGCATCAACTGGAGCAGAATGTGTATCCACTGCCTACGTGTTGGTGGGGCAACATCACGAACTCTGTCCCGGGGACAAAGGGACAACGTCAGCACCACATTTCTTACCTTGTTCCTAACACCTAACTTTGACTTGCCTATCAAACCCATTTTCATTAAGACTCACTTTTATCGTTACAGTGTATTAGTAGGGGTTAGCAGAACAAACCTCCCTGTTTGAAGTAAAACAATATGCAGATTGTCACTTCTCAGAGCAGAGATACTGTTCCTAAACCCAAAATGTTCTGGAGGGCAAAGGCCAGGCTATCTGGAGATTCGAATTTTTTTGCCATAATGTTCACAAGTCCTCAAAATTGCTAAAACAGGGGACATCACAGATCCTAAGAAGAATTTAAATAATTGGGTATGTTAAATGTTTATAGATGGTGAAATGCTATCCACCACCAAAAAATCATGTGAAGGATATTTATTAGGAAAGAAACAGATGCTATATGTCACTGGGTGAAGAAAACTGTATGAAATCACTTTGGATATAGATGTAGGCATAGAATACACACCAATATTTGGTTGCCTCTGAACAATGCCATAGGGGTTTTGTTTTGCTTTTTTGTATTTTATTCATTTCTGCACTGAGCACACTTTTGCTAATGTTCCCAAGAGATGCTCCAGTTCTCTCCAGGCTGTGGCTACTGGACCCTCTCCCAATATCGGTGGAGACTCACAGGTGGCCACCGAGATTAAGTGTTCCACTAGCACTGTCCATATGCTCTAGGAACTCACGAGGAAAACACCAAATCAAGGGGACCTCTGAGGGAGGCACCCATTCCTCAGGCAGCCACTGCTGTGGCTCTGAGTCTTCCTTCTTTTCACTTTCATCAGGGCCAGCAGGAAAAGAAGAGGGAATCTGCTGTACTTCAATGGGGAAACAAAGCAGCAGGAATTTTGTTTCAGATTTTCCTTATGAAAGTGCAATATACAGACAAGACCGTCACTCTGTTTCAAGGAAACATCATAATTCCAGTCTGACCATATTGCTCACCACGCCATAGGGGGCTTCTTGATAGATGACAGGCAAGTATCTCCTCTACCTGATTCAGGGACCCAGAACAAGCCACGCAGGGTTAGAGAGCACTTTTAACACTGAGATCTCATGTGACAGCCACAAGGGGGCTGAGGGTAAGAAAGGGTAAGTGTCCAGCTGGGTGATGACAAGACTGGAACCAAAACTGTGGTCTGGCTCAAGTCTAGCCAGAGCTTTCCACGCTGTCCCTGCCAGGCCACACTTTGCCTCAGGTCTTGGCTGTCCCAAGAGGGCAAGACCTGCATTAGGGTGAAGTAAAAGCTGACATTGAGGGAAAACAGAAGGCTGAGCTCACACAACAAATAACGGTTCTCAATTTCTCCCTGAACTTTAAGTTCTAGACTGTGGATGAGATAACCAAGTTTCCAAACAAAGAAAAATCAGGGAATTCTCTGCCTCTGAACACAGGGATTTACAGGGCTACTGAGGGACTTTCTGAGATCATCAGGTTTTTTTTTTCTCTCATTGAGTTTACTGGTACATTTTAGGTATACAGTACAGTTACATTCATCACTGGGATCTTGTACCTTTAACATGACAGGTCTTGGTTCTCATTTTTTCCCCTTGTCCCTGCCCTCTTCACCGCCTCCTACCTTCCCCATTTACAAACACTGTATTTCCATTTTTTCATTTTCTCATATTTTTTCTTTTCCCTTATTACCTTTCCCCTACCCTTCCCACTTTCCCTACACCTTTAAGCTAGTTGTTATTTCAAAGCATGTTCAGATGTTTACACATCTTCAGAAACAAGAATTTCATGAGTTTCCTGTACACTACTTAGAAATAGCTTTTGTGTTAGTTGACACTTTTCTCTTGTCCTAAAGCAGAACTTGTATTCCACAGATTTATACTCTATAATGAAAATGAAGAAAAGTAATGAAACTCAATGTCAGGTGCCAGCCAATGAGCTACCTTCGCCCACAACAAATCTGAGATCTGATTTCTCCAAATATCTACACCATGAATGCTATGGTTTGGATGTGGTTTGGATGTGTCTCCCAAGCCTTCCTGTGTTGAAAATTCATCCTCATTTTGAAGTATTATAAGGAAAGAAACTTAATTCAGCTGTGTGTCTTCAGGTGACAGGTTAGATAAACCCACTAGAGGGAGCCCCTCTGACTGAGTCCTAGTGGCTTAAAATTGGGAGAGATCAGAAGATAATCATTTCTGCAGGTAAGGAGGCCATCACCAGGTGTGGCCCCTAGAGTCTGTATTATAAAATTTTCCAAAATAAGTCTCTTTTCTTTATAAAGCAGTCTGTCTCAGGTACTCCATTACAACAATGAACAGGCTAATACAGTGGTCCATTCAGGAACTGATCTAATGTTCATAAAGGTGGAGTACAAAGTGATACAAAACCGCCAAGTGGTTCACATGATTCAAGTTTAGAGAGCAGTCTTGGATCTTGAAGAAAAATGTGGTTATTACACCATATGCTTTGCTGTGGTAACTCCAACTTTTCAAGGAAGTAAAAGTGGGAAAATACACCATTCTCACAAGCCAAGGACAATAAACCTACAGTATCATTCAAACGTAACAGTCTGGATTCAAGCACAACAGAACTACTACTTCAAACAGAAAGGAAAAAATGCATAGTCAAGAAAAAATGGTACCCTCAACATGTACGAGTTGAGACACAGAGTGGATGGCACTAGCTCAGCTAGAGGATGTTCCAAATGACAAAGTGAAGAGATCTGTGCAATACGGAGAGGATTTTTGTTTCTTTGAGACAGGATCTAGCTGTGCAGCCCAGGCTGGCTTTGAACTCATAGCAATCCTCCTAACTCGGCCTCCCAAAAGCTGAGATTACAGGTGTGCCCCACTACACCCGGATGGAATACTGAGTTTAAAATCAGAGATTATAGATAAACTTCACAGCTAAAGAATGCTAACCACTTTGCTAAAGTCAGCTATGAATAAAAGCATTATTATCTATTTTCAAAGTGAAAATTTAAACACTAACTGTTCGTTTTATCCTCACTCAATTCACCTCCAAATCAATCCTACACCTTGCAAACTCCTTTTGGAGTTTCATATGGACCAGCCCCTGCCAGTTCTGCACTCCCAAGGCAGACAACTGACTTCCCACCCACTCCCGTCAAGCTCCTAAAGTACCT